TATTAATGTATAATGCATTATTAAAATTAATTGATAATTAATTTCCAATGTATATGAATTAATATTAGTAAAATTTAAATTTTATTAATATTTATTTATAATTAATATTAATAAGTGTTATAATTGAAAAAAGTAACAAYAAGCTACATACTACTCCAAGAGCATTTTAATAAGCTAGCTTCGAAACGCGTACCAAAAAATAAGTTATCTCATTTTTACCAAACCATGCCTTAGCCATGAATCCTCTAGTTCAAATGCTCTGCTATATTGGTATGAGAAGCGTTAAACCAATATGCAAAATCAAATGTAATTTTATACTAAAGATCGACATTTGAGTGTGTGGGCGACACATAAATCATATGTGATTTTACACGTAATTTTAATGTAAACCGACTCTCTATATATATGAAATCAAGATTCATGGTAACTGGAAGATATTTCAGGTTTACGCTTGCCGCCATCTAGAAACTCGGATCTTAACTTCATGAGTAGTTGTCCTAAATAATTAAGGTGTTCGCCATCCCGGCCTCCACCCCAGAAGAGATCCTTATTAGAAGCTCCAACGAGTACACGACCAGCTGTCGATAGAAGCATTGAATTCAAGTATGGGTAAATCGAGAACTTGTATTTCAGTGCCTTGTACATCACCTCCGTCTTCACGTTTTCCCAGTCCCACCTTACCTGCATAACCAATGTGTTTGATCAACATCACCAAGAAATAACTCGAGAGTAATTGACTTCTTGAACCATCTTACTTGACTTATCATTGCAAATAAATATTGTCTTCAAAAATGCCAAAAGAGAAGACTATACTTAGGGGATGTTTGGTTGGTTTTTTTAAGTTTTGTACGGATTAAGTTTTCTACGTGGATTAATCTATCAATAGAGATTGGGAAGATTTTTGTTTGGGAGGGTTTCTGCATAAATGGCATGAGCGTGTTTTTTTTATTATGAGGGGCAATTATGGGAAAAACTTGGTTTTCTTCATAAAGCTCCCCTTAAAAGCTTATCGAATAAGCCACTTTCTATATCATTAAGCCACTACCAAACGGTCATGTATAGCTAACCGAATAAGCTGTGACTCTCATTAAGCTCATTAAGTTGCTAACAACATGCCCTGATAAAAGATGTTTATCACTCAGAAACAATCTCTCGGTCTCCCGGACATAGCTAAAGTTTGTATATGTCTTCCCCTCTCCAATCCTACCATCGGGTGTTGACATACCATGTTTGTTTGGTTTGGTTTGGATTTTAGAAACCGCTTATTGAACAAAAATCACATTATAATTCTAATATGATATCATGTGGCCTTTGCTGCATCCATGGCTCTATAGCCAAATCCTTAAGAGCCTAACCATCCAAACTAGTGCCATCAGTTTTTGCCATGCCAGAACCCATATCTACTGTGATTTGCAGCCAACTTTGCACTCCTTCCTCCAAACGCTATGCAAGGAAGCTCTAATATCATCATTAATGCCCAAAACCCAAGCATACACCAAATCTAAGATCACAAATTGGGGTTTCTATCACAAAAATTCATAGAAATGAGAACCCTTCAGATCAAACCACCCTTGAGAAAAAGAATCGAGCAAGGAACACAAGAATCCATATATTAGAGAAATGCATCTACAAAAGCTTTCTGGCTGGTGTTTTGTAGTGTTGATGGCTCGTTTAGAAACCATACATGTGCTGTTAGCTCTGGCAGCAAAAGAAGGGTGGTTGGTTCACCACCTCAATGTAAAACCAGCCTTCTTGAACGACGATTTACAAGAAGAGGTGTACGTAACTCAACCTGACGGTTTTGTTATTGCAGGGAAGGAACACATGGTGTACAAGCTAAACAAAGCTCTCTACAGTTTGCAGCAAGCTCCAAGAGCTTGGAACATAAAGCTTGATAAAACACTCAAGGAGTTGGGTTTTCAAAAGTGTCCTCAAGAACAAGCTGTTTACAAGAGCCATAACCAGAAATCGTTACTAATAGTGGGAGTATGTTGATGATTTGATCGTAACTGGTTCAAGTGAAGAGGGAATTTGTGCATTCAAAAGACAGATGCGGGAAGTATTCGATATGACTGATCTAGGAAAATTGTCATACTATCCCAGACTGGAAGTTCAGCAAAGCAAGAATCGAATTTCTAATGGCCAAGCAAGCTACGCACAAAAGATACTGCAGGTAGTTGGTATGTCTGAATGTAATTCAGCAAAAAGCCCCATGGAACCAAAGCTTGACCTGAACAAAGATGAAGAAGGGGTGCCGGTAAACACTATGCATTACAGGTGTCTTATTGGGAGTCTACGCTACCTAATCCACACCAGGCCAAACCTTGGCTATCCCGTGGGAGTGGTCAGCAGATGCATGGAGTCACCTCGAGAAAGCCACCTCAAAGCTGTCAAACAAATTCTAAGATACGTCAAGGGAACTATCAACTATGGGTTGGTGTACCAGAAAGGAGGAGATGGGAAGATAACTGGCAACAATGACAGCAGTCATAACGGGGATCGTAATGACGAAAAAAGTATGTTTGGGATGGCATTTTATTCCTCAGACAATGTGATAACATATGCGAGGCCGAGTTCGTGGCGGCAACATCAGCGGCATGTCAAGCTTTGTGGCTACAAAGCTTGTTGAGGTATTTGACAGGTTCTAAAGCAGGTTGTGTGAAGCTTCTGGTAGACAACAAATCCGCAATTGAGCTGATGAAAACCCCGGTGTTCCATGGAAGGAGCAAACACTTTAACGCCCGGTATCACTTCATTCGAGAATGTGTTGAAAATGGGCTAATTTACGTAGAACATGTAAGTGGAGAAGCACAGAGGGCGGATATTTTGACCAAGTCATTCCCACGAGTGAAATTCACATAAATGCAGAACCTGTTGGGTGTTGAAGATCTGGGAGACAAAAATCAGAATTGAAGGGGAGAGTGTTGAAATTAATTCTGATTTAGTCTCTAGTTTGACCGAGTTTGGTGGAGAAAGTAGTAGGAAAAATTGGTTGACAGATTATTAGGAATAAGTGGGGGTAACGTGGCTTAGTTTTCGTTTTTCCTTTTCAAGTATAAGTAGGAGTTTCTTTTCAGTTTAGAGTAGAGAAGTAACCTGCATTCTGTTTTCTTTTGTTGTATTAGTCTTTCTTTCAAGCAAATGTAAATCCGGGAAAATTGCCCCATCTAGTGTGTTTTTCCTTTGTATATCAGTTGGCATATTTGGTTGTGCATTGCTCCCTTGCAGGTTATTTACTAGCAGGGTTCCCGTGAGATCACCCAATTTTTGTGAGATCCATGAGATCATTCTGAAGGTTTTGTGTGTTCTTCCTGTGAAGGTGATTCGTTGTGTTTTTCATGTTTTTCAAGTGAAGGTTCGATTTTTTCCTTGTGAAGGTTGTTGTTTTAATGTGAAGGTTTGAAGAGAGAACTCATCTAAGGGCTCGAATATGGTCTCACAGGTCTCACGGAAATCGAGTGGTCTCACATGATCCCAAGTTAGAAAACAGAATCTGTGGTTTCACTCTTGTTTTTGCCTAGAAACTAGAGTGCGAATTTGGATTATCTAAAAGTGAATTTCATGAAACTCAAGGATTTCAAACGTGTCGAAAGATTACTTTCGGACAGTGTTTGGTACACGATTCATATTTCTATCCAAGTTTATTTTTGATTGATACATCACGCACACCCAAATATCTAACAATCTTTTTACCTTCTTTTTATTGAATTGAATTTGGAAACAGTCTCACATCAAGAAGTGTGTGGAAGGCATACCATATCTGGGTGTTCTCTTTGTATTTTCCTTCCCATCCGTGCTGCTTCTTCAGGACTTTTTGCCAAATATATTGCTTCAACATAACTTCTTGCATTTGGATTGCTCGAGCCCACAAACTTGTGTGCCTTCAATTAGGGGGAAGAGTTCAGATAGCATCATATGGATCATACAATGAGCAGCAACTGGTGCAGAACTGGACATGGGAAAAAAATCACCTGATAATAGTGCTCTACACTTGGCCAGGTGACATAATCACCACTTTCATCAGGCAGTTGAACTGGATGAGGAGAAAAGTTGGAGAAACTACCATATGGGTCCCATGTCTTATTGAAGAATATGATTGGTGAATCATAAGAAGATAAGGATGGATCAATAGCTGAAGTTTCTTCAACCGAAGGAATAATATGTGTCACATCAGGAATGGGATGCAGATATCCACTAATAAGCACATCAGGTCCAATCTGCAACACTAGTGAAGAGTTTATCAGAACATAGACCGTCAACAATTTAACATTTAGGCAGGTGAACATTCAGTATTTAGCAAGGACATTAATATTTAGGATGGACATAGATTCATAATACATGTTATGTGAGATAGCTTTTTCTCCAGGTTCAAGAATGAGCAACTGTGGCAGTGGTTGTTTCCTGTGTTACTCAAACTCAGTTTCATGAATGGTGCAATAATTTGCAAATCTAAGAAGCTCATCTACATGTTGAAGTACTTCCATTGGCTTTTTATTTGTATGAGTTCCTATCCTTTTTCACTGTGTTTTTACTTTTTGTTTATTTTGTTTCCAGGAATTAGTTTGCCCAGTATTTGACCAGATAGATGGATGTTTGAGCTTAGTTCCATGCTTTAACAGAAATCATGCAGTACCAACAGGGATGGACCTCTCTATCACACATAAAGACTCGATTTTGAATGTAGTCATACCAACCTGCTCATAACAAACATCAATTAATTCCAAAGCCTGTGTCATTTCAACCATCCCAAGTTCCCCAACTGGAGAAGGTGCATTCTTTCCACCAATTATCTTAGGAGCAACAAAAGCATGCACCTGCATTAGCAAACATGTACATGATTGGTATCAATAAGTACAATAAACAGTAAAAATGCATGACCAAGGAAAGATATGCATATGTGGTCATTACATAAGAAAACACTATGCACATTGTTAAGTTTTTGACGGAGAAAATATGAGAAACAAAAACCACACACCTTGTGTACGCATAACCAGTTGCAAGCATGTATTAGTCAAATGTAGGAACTTATTCAAAAGGTAATAGTAACTTCTCAGGAGATGACCAAAGGGTCATAGTATTAAACCTTTGCATTTGAACAATGTATAGGCCAATTCACAACCCATTAAATTAATTTACCACTAAACAGGAGAACAGATGACCTTGTAAGCACAACGACTCCCATTAGTGCATTTAGAGCAGGTGGAACTTCATGATTAAGCAGTATATCACTTCAATGACACACCCACTACACACCTTGTGTATGACACCAGAGGAAATAGCTGATGCAGATAATGTCCCTCCACACTCCCACAAAATGGATAGATAACCACGATCATAAAGGAAGTCCACGACATCCTTAGGGTTCAAGATATCAAACTCCACTACTTCAACACCTTTAGATGCAAGATATTTTTGGAAACTTCTACTTGCACCTCTCTGAGTGACGACTATTGTGGGCACATCTCTAACATCCCAAAGATTTGCAACCTCCGGAAGATCAAGCGTTTGCGACATAACAATTCGCATAGGCACATGTCCACCTCCAAGTCTTGGAGTTAAACGCGGATCTATGTTTAAAAATGTAATGAGAAACTACCAAGGGAATTTTCAAAATATAGAAATTAAAGTAGCATAAAGTTCCATACTATCATTGCGTACAGTATTTCCTCCTACAATAACTGCATCACTTCTAGCACGTAATTCAAGAACTCGATATCTTGACATTTCGCTACTTATCCATGATGCATGTCCACTACTAGCAGCAATTTTTCCTGTCATAATATGGAGAATCAGTGACATTTTTTAGTTGAACTTAGCCCCCAACTCCATACTAGGAGAAATCTATTCAGCTTTGTTAGAGAGTGAAATACAATATTTGGAAGCATCAAGTATGTGATACTCACCGTCAAGTGTCATTGCATACTTCAGAACCGAGAATGGAACTCGAGAAGCTGATCTATATAGCAAAGGAGCATTGACAAGGAGACAGGATTTTAGAGCTTCCTAGAAATTTGCAATATACATTAGTATATTAGAAGGAAAAGAACATAGACATACATCCTGGAAATTAAACAGATTAAATTTTTTAGCAACATCCACAATACCACAAATGTATGACTCCCTATAATACAAAAATAAAAATAACAAGCGCTCTCATGCTTCCTACACTTAGCAAGGACTTTGGAGCGAGCTTTATGCCACAACCATTCCCTTGCAATTTATCCAACTTACCTGATCAGTTATACTTCTGAGTGGTCTACCCTTGCCCCTAAGAAGCATAAATTGGTGTTAAACTATCTGTTTCTAGTCAAGTTCCTTTATTTCCCAAAATCTATTTAATAACATTATAGTGATGTCACAAGAAAGTTGGCTATGATGATAAAGATTTTTGTTTCTCTAATTTCTTGATTAATTGATGAACACAGTGTTGGTATGTTGTTATCACTAAAACCAACCTGGAGTGTCCTATTGGAAGAGGTCATTCTCTTGATAAGCAAAGATAATATATCATGAGCAATCGTCCTATCAGTTTCTTTATCTTTACATGCTGCTACTAATCATCATCATATTAGGATAAGTAGACTACATTTAAAGGATCACATTAAGGGGGGAAATCTGCAAGTTATCACCAAACAAACTTCCCTGATGGGGAGAAGGCCAACACCCCATAAGTTTATTATTTATAACAATGGAAAAAACAGAGTTAAGCTCATAGAATATACTAATGATTATGTTATACCTCAATGGAGACGCTTCGAATATCCTCCCCAAGAACATCAACATGCAGCCCTTCACTTCTCAATGCCTGAACAGCTTTACCCCGAAGATGTTGCAATGGATGTCTGATGCCAATAACAACTCTAGTAATTCCTGCCTAAAGATTAAGCCTCAGATGCATGTAAATTTGAAGTAATACTGATCAGGATGTTGAAACGTCACAACCTGTCCTACCCATGCTGGAAAGACAAATCCTGTTCTCGATAAATTCAATGTTCCAAGATTTGAGAGAGTCTTTGATAATCACGTAGAGATACGAGTTTTATATGATTTGCTAAGGTTCAAACTTAGGTCGAGCTTTATATCACAAAGAGATTTGGGTATAAATTTTTATACTAATCAAACTTGATATCTTTATCAACTTAGACAATTTGGAAAGATTAAGAATCAGTAATGGTGGGCACTTTGTGGGCACAGTTTATAAAGATTCACTTTCGAGAGATAGGGATCTTTATGGATGTTTTTGTGACACAAAGTATCTGACAATTTTGTTACTACATATATCGTAAGGAAAACTTCCACCCATACCCATTTTTAATTACTTATTTATATTTCATTGTTATAATCACCAACTCATCAAATATATTTTCTTCTTCTCTTATTGAAATTGGTGTATTCTAGACCTATTACTCGAAACTCTAAGGTCCGATCCCTGTGGATATGATCTCGGTATTTTTTTAGCACTTTATTAGCGAACTCAATAGTGATCTATGCTTACTTGCACCATTATTGTGCCACATTTACGTGTGTGTATTTTTGCTACCAGGTACTTAGGCCTTCCCAAAACACTTTCGTTGTCGTTTACCTTAAAAGAACACTATGACCATCTAATAAGGGTGTTCCTAACCCATCGACAACATAAACTATACGGGAAGATGGAGATGTGTATATTCCTTGTTCCAAGCGTTACCTTTTTAGGGTATATCATGGCTGGGGATAGAGTGGATCCTGTGAAGGTGAAGCCATCTCCTCATGGCCCGAACCAAAGAATGTACACGAAATTTGAAGCTTTCATGGGTTGGCTTCTTTCTATTGGTGGTTCATTTGGGATTTTAGTTCTATTATGGCGCCAATCACCAAGTTGATGAAAAGAGGGGAGTTTACTTGGAACGACCCTGCCAAACATGCTTTTGAAACAATCAAACAACGACTTTGTGAAGCCCTCGTTTTTGCTCTTCCTGATTTTGGAAAAATGTTTGAAGTTGGGACTGACGCGGGCAAAGTTGGCATTGAAGCGATCCTTCTACAAGAAAAGAAACCCATTGCCTTTTTCAGTGAAAAGTTGGGAGGTGCCCACCTCAACTACTCCACGTACGATAAATAATTTTATGTTATCGTACGAACATTAGACTATTGGTCGCACATCTTACGACCAAAACCTTCCATCCTGCATCCGGACCATGAGTCCTTGAAGCACATTCACAGTTAGCAAAAATTGAACGCTCGACACGCAAAAATATTGGGGTTCAAACACTTGAAGGAATTATATACCACCTATCCTGATTTTTCAAGTGTATTTGCAACTCCAAGTGGATTATTTGTGGTACAAGATAGGTTCCTCTTCAAACAAAACTGTGTGTGTATACCCAAGTGTGGAGTTCGCGAACTTTTGGTTCAAGAGGTACACGGTGGTGGACTACCTTGTCGCTTCAGCGCATGCAAGACTTATGAACTATTGTGTGAACACTTCTACCGACCCCAATTGTTCGGCGTTTGGTAAGACATAACATAACCAATAAAATAACCAATTTACTTTAATGAGTTGTTTATATATTTTGATTAATTTGTGTAATTTATTAAATTATAATAACATAATTATTTTTTATGACAAAATATATCATTAGAAAGTTTTCATCAAACAATAAAAATGATACTAAAATAAAAAGTTTATGTAGTTTCCAAATTTTTTATATCATCCCTAATCTATATTATTTATTATTATTAATATATAATAAATTACATAAATTAATAAAAATTTAAAAAATGTATAAAAATAATATATTGAGAACATTAAAATAAAAGTTTAAAAAGCATAAAATACAATAAATAAAATTTAACGAATGAAAAAACATGTAAAAAGATACTTATTTGATGTTTAGAATAAAATTAAGTTTTATTTTGAGGTTCAAATGCGGTGACTCTGGGTTATCTGCAAAGCAGGTGTTCACCCTGAGAATAGTCGGCTCGCATAGCGAGTTGGATATCCAGGTTAATAAAAAAAATAGGCTTGTTCCACTCTGTTTTTGTTTGCTCCACATAAAAGTCCTACCAAACGTGGAACATGATCCTTGTTCTGTTGTATCCTGTCTTATCCAGTGTATCAAACGCACCCAAAAGATACGCATTTTTCATAAGGGCTTGTACACTTCGTTTCCAGTACCAACGACTCCCTTTGACAGCGTAAGTACGGATTTCATTTGTGGCTTATCAAGCACTGCTAGGGGTAGAGATTCCGTTATGGTAGTCGTGGACAGGTTTTCAAAAATGGGGCACTTCCTTCCTTGCAACAAAACTTATGTACCCATTGGTGCTATGTTGGATTTGAATAAGATTTTGGGAGCTCCGTAACTTCGAGAGAAGGGGTGCCTCCTCGAAAAGGGGGTAGCAGATTTCGTGATCCGATATCGAACTTATTCCAAGGGAGCTCGGATCCAGCAAGGTAGTTGATTTGTATTTCAAGAGATCGTTCAGACTTCATGGAATTCCCAAAGGCATTTGTGTATGATCGGGACACCAAATTTTTAAGTCATTTTTGGCGGACTTTATGGTTAGTAAGCAAAACCACCAAAGATTGGGATGTAAAGTTGGCACATGCTGAATTTGCTTACAACCAAGGTAGTATATGGTGGTAACCCGCTTGTTCCCGTTGACTTGATCACCGTCCCTTGCGAGGACATCCTCAACTTGGAGGCTAAATCTAGGCAAGAGACATTCTTCAGGACTTGTAAAGCAAATTGAAAAGATGAATTCCAAATACAAGGAAAGAGCCGCCAACCGGAATTCCAACCAGGAGATGTTGTTTGGATTTAACTTACGACAAGAATTAAACTTATTTAAACGTTCCTGCTATTCTCTATTTCCTTGACACCCGAAAGCTTCATGCGTTTCATGGGTCGATTTGAAGCATAGCTAGGGTGATTGTTTTTTATTTTCATTTTCATTTTCATCATCTTGTGGAGTTGGCCTTTCTATAAAATCCAGGTTCTCTAAAGCAATCAACCATAGTGAAATTAAAACTTAAAGCCTTTCAAATGGAAATATTTTTTTATTTAAAATTCAAATTTTATGGACAACGAAATAAGCACTAAAAGCAATCAACCATAGTGAAATTAAAACCTAAAAGCAGATAACCTTGATAAAAGCAGATAGAGCGGTGAGGTCCCCATCGCAGTCTCCAGGTTCCATGTTGACATAAGCAGTGGCGCCTCTGCAATACCCTCCAGCGGCCTCCACCGCCTGAACCTCAGCCGGCTTCGTCCCTTGCCCGTAAAGGTAACCTTCTCCGACAACTTTTCCGGCACTGCCACTTGTTGCAATGACGCAACCAAAGTTAGGATGCGGCGAGGTGAAGCCGACGGACTTATCAGACAAGTCGGCGGCGCGTTTCATATATGACGCATCAAGCACATGGTGATTGTTGTTGTTGCTATTGATAATAGGCGTAACCTTACAGTTGATTGGGGTAGCAAACCCCATAGGCGATTCGATATGAAATGGTTATAAAAATTACATGCCATAAATAAGGAGAGGGGAAGAGGAGTGAAACATGCCATTGGAATTGGAATTGGAATAAGGAAAGGGGGAAGAGGAACCAAACATGCCGTTGTTGGAAGGAAGACACTAATTCTAGTTTTCAACTAAAAAGCTCCAACATATCCTTCGTTATCAATTTTTTATTTTTTCACTCCTTGCTCTCCTACAATCCGATTTTTTTAAATTAATATTTTAAATTTATATTTTATACCCTTATAATTTAGTTAATTAATTTACTTTACAGCATTTATTTTTAAATGTTTCATTTTAAACTTTTATCAAAATCGTATATTAATTAAAACATGTTTAAAAAATACATTTTTATTTTAACAGGTTACATCATTATAATCGTCTCGTTAATACATTTGAAATGAATCCAATATTGAATAGTTTTTGACTTAATTATATTATTATATATTATATATATTGTGAAAAATATTTTTAATATTTACGATTTATACTTTTATAGTTATTTATTTATATATATACTATATATTTTGGGATTAGGCTGTCCAAATTGCACTGTATAATATGTTCTGAATTAATATGTTCTTGGGTTTTTTGAAATATATATACATGTATTAATTCAACTTTAATCTGAGTTTCTGGACAAGAAAGAGGGTAAGCAGTTGAAATTTCATTCTAAAACTCATCTTTTTTTGTCTTTTTATGGCTTATGATCTGTCAAATTTGTAGTTTTCTTTATTGGTTTTGAGTGTTTATCTTAAAACTCAAGTTTCTTGGTTCTTTGCTTTTTGGTGTAAATCGAA